CGGGCCGCCGTTGGGAGGGAAGGAGGGTCCGGCACCCTGCAGCCCCCGGCCGGGCACAGGCAGGCCTCTGGGGGCCCAGGTACGCCCGGGGGAGGAGCAGGGCCCGGGCCCTCCCCCTGGGGGCGGGCGGGGTTGGGACAGGCCCCAGGCGGGCCAGGACTTCTCTCGGCCTCTGGCGGCAGTAACCATCTGGCTGGGTGGGCAGGACCTCGGGTCCCCGGGTGCGGAGGCTGGGCCAGCTCTTTTCTGCATCAGCCTCCCTCGCCCCACAGCCTTTGAGGGGGGCTCCTCTGGCTCCTGCTTCACGGCTCAGGTGAAGTTGTCGCTCAAGCCCCAACCCCGTCCCTCACCCCCGCACCCCCGCCCCCAGCCTGGGCTGTCCTGCACCCTCACCCCTGGTAACGCACAGGCCACGCTGCTGACCGGGCGGGAGAGAGTTGCAGGGGCAGGAGAGCAAGTTAATGTTGAAGCAGCTGCTTCTGGCGGTAGGGGCGCCCCCAGCCGGCCCCCAGCGCTGCCCAGCTGGGCACAGCCGGCCCGGCCAGAGCACAGGAAGGGGGCAGCTGGCCGCTTCTGGGGCCAGCGGCTCCGGCGAGATTGGAGGGAGGGAGGCCGGGCCAGAGGCTGAGCAGAAGCCCTGGGCAGCGCGGGTGGGGGAAGGGGGCAGGTGCCCGGCCTTGACCGTGCCCGCAACCACGTGACGCTGACTTTCCACAGGTAGGACACCACTCTTGGGGGCTCCTGGACGATTAGGGAACTTCGAGGACGAAAGGTAAGGACAGAGACAGGCCCAGAGGTGCACCAACCTGTGCCCAGGGCACCTCTGCGAGCAGAAGGGCAGGTGGGCTGTCAGACCGTGGGGGCAAAGGGTGGTAGAGGGACTGAGATGCCCCGTCACCCCCAACCCCTCCTCTGCGAAGCCTTACACATCACAGCTCTCTGCCCCTCCTCTGCCCCCACTCACCTGGGAGGGTTCCCTGTGTGTGTGTTGGGGGGGGTAGGCAGCCCTGACCAGCCTGAGCGCTGGGCCCCTCACCCCCGTCCCCCTCAATGAGTTGGCGGCTACCCCCAGCCTCCCCTGCCCCAAACCAGGCCCTGGGAGGGCCTGCAGGCTTGGGCTGTGCATGGGCCTGGCCTTGCTCCCCAGCTGGGCCACAGAGCGGCCCTGTGACCTTGGCCACCGTGGAGGGCCTTCCTGTACTTTGGTCTCCTGCCCTGTAAAATGGGGACAGCAGTCATAGGGGTGCTCACTGAGAGCATCTTTTATTTGGCGTGCGGGACACTCTTGCAAACAGAGGTCGACTCTTCAGGTTAATTAGTTCATTAATATCAGTCATGGCTATTAATGCAGGTGGATTCACGACTAAATCCCTCTTACTTGTTCTGCCGACCCCGGAAGTGGGCCCAGGAGGTCCCTCTGCGTTTCCTTTCCTCCCCAGGTTGGGCAGGACACACCCCCAGGGAGACACCTCTCTGGCACCTTCACTCCTTAGGAGGTGGACTTCCTGTCACTTTCTTGTAATTAAGAGACTTTTCTGGCTTGGGAGGGCTTCCTGAAGGAGGGGGGATTCCAGGTGAGCCCTGAAGGCCACTGGGGGACACAGAGGAGGAGGAGGAGGTGGAGGGGCAGGGAGGGGGTTACCCATGCACACGGCTTCCCCTCCCACGCTCCCGTCTGTGTCCGGGTGATGCGCCCTGGGGACTGCCACCTTCCTCGGTCCCCCCCGCCCCCCGCCTGTCCCACCAGCACATGGCTGTGCCAGGGGCTCGTCCTCAAACGCAGACCCGTGGGGCCAGGCACTCGGGAAGACACCCCAGGGAATTGTCTGAGCCCCAGGGGCTCTCAAAACCCCCTCCCCCTCCAGCCTCCCCCTCCCCCACTCCCATTCTCACAGTCATTTCTCTGGGTCCTGGGCCCCCCTGAGACCTGAGCTCCTTGACCTCAGCTCTCAGATCCCCTGCCCTCCTCCCCGGCGTCCCTCACGGGTGACCCTACTTCCCCAGACCGCATCCTGCCCCTTCCCTCTACCTCCCCTGTGCCCCCTGCAGCTCTCTAGTACCCACACTCTGTCACAGCCCCGTTCACTGTCCGCATCAGCCCCTGGAGGGCAAGGAGAGACGGTACAGGGGGCAGGCCACTCCAGAAAGGCAGGTGGCCCGGTTAGCCCGCAAGGGGTCTTGCTTACAAGGCTTGTCTTGGGGCCTGAAGACGAGCAGTTCTCTGCCTCCAGCTGCCAGATCGTAGTTTCTACAGAGGCCTTACGGGGCTCAGTCCCGCACACCGTCCAGAGGGTCTCAAGGACACATTGCTCCCTCAAGCCTGCATCCCTGGGAGTGGCTCCCATGGTGGGAAGGGGGGGCTGGGTTGGGGGGAGACAAAATGTACATTCCCAGGACAGGGGAGGGGGTGAGGAGCCTCTGATTACCCAGGTCCAGCTTGTGGGCCCAGCTCCAAGAGCGGGCAGGGACCTTCTGCCTCCCGCCAAGGTCGCCATGCTTCGGGCCAGAGCCGATGATGCCCCCAGGCCCTCAGTACACGCACGCTGGAGTGCAGGAGCGATCGGGGCCCCGGGGAGGCAGCGGAGGAAGGAGGGTATGGGGGTGGTCCCCGGGTCTCACCTGGTGCAGCCCCCACTGCACCCCTCGGCGCCCAGCCAGCCCTGACTCTCTCCCCAGCTCCCTGAGGTGCTGAGCACGGAGCCCCCATGGCCTCGCTGAGCAGAGCCCTGCGTGTGGCCGCCGCCTGCCCTCGCCGGGACCTGGGGCTGCGCGCGCTGACCAGCCGAGCCGGCCCCACCACCGAGAAGAGCGTGCCGTACCAGCGGACCCTGAAAGAGGCCCAGGGCCCCTCGGCGGTGGCCCGGGGCCCAAGCCGGCCCCTGCCCAGCACAGCCAACGTGGTGGTCATCGGCGGGGGCAGCTTGGGCTGCCAGACCCTGTACCACCTGGCCAAGCTGGGCGTGAGTGGGACGGTGCTGCTGGAGCGGGAGCGGCTGACCTCCGGGACCACCTGGCACACGGCGGGTAGGGGCCAGGGCGGGCGGGGGCCAGGAGGGACTGGGCTCAGTGAGGGGACAGTTCCAGGGTGACGACTAGAAGCTTGTTAGAGGCAGCTGAGCAGGAGGAGGAAGGACACGGAGAAAAGATGAGGGATCATCTGAAGGCGGACAGATGGGGGACCCCCTTTGCCCCCCATGTCTCTGAAGAGCCATAGTGGGGAGGAGGGAGCAAAGCTGAGACCAGAGCTGGGAGCCCAGGCAACTGTCTGTTCCAAGAACAGAAGCGCCTCCCCAGATGGAGCCACTGGGGCTGAGGGGCGTCCACAGGCGGGCATAGAGCGTGGACGGGGGAAGGAGCCGTCGGGTGATGCAGAGCCGTGTCCTCCATGGGCACCAGATGCGTCCATGATCCTCATCCTCCTAACTAAGCGGTGGGCATGTAGTAAGCCCCTACTGTGTGCCTGTCGCCAGGGCAGCCACCCTTCTGCCTTAACCCTGGGAGCTGGGTGAAGTTTGCAGTTTCGGTGGGGTAAGCATTCCCACCTCTGCTAATGTGCTACCAGCGTGAGGTCATGGAACGCGGAGCTGGGAAGAGGTTCGGACATCACATGCCTTGTACACCACCGTTCTGCCCTCCCGCTGTCCCATCCCAGCCAGGCCAGCAGGCCTCTCCCCTCACGGTTACACTGGCCTCGGCCCTGGCCGCCCGCCCCCCAGACTCCGCTCTGAAGGGAGCAGCTTTGTTGGGGGTCGGTGTACACGTGGGCTTCAGCGGGTCCTGGCTTGGGGTCCCGGCCCCATCATTACCTGCTCTGTTGTCTTGGGTGTGGGACTGTTTGGTGCCATCTAATTTCACTCTAAAATCATCGTGCCTCCCTCTTGGGGATGCTCTGTCGCCCTGTGACAGGCTCAGCCCCGGGCTTGGCACACAGTAAGGGCTCGATAAAGGGGACCCCCGATGTTACCACCGTGTGAGCTGCCCAGGGGCCAAAAGCCCGTCTTCAAATCAGCTTTGACCCTGTGATTTCTGGCTCATCAACCTCCTGGAGTTCCCCGAGGGCTGCAGAGAAAGACCCAGGCCCTCTGCCTGATCTTCAGGAGCCCCAGGCTGCGGTGGGGAAGGGGGAGGCACGGCGGGGGGCTAACGGTGCCCCTCGCCTTCCCGGCCAGGCCTGCTCTGGCAGCTGCGGCCCAGTGACGTGGAGGTAGAGCTTCTGGCCCACACGAGGCGCGTGGTGAGCCGTGACCTGGAGGAGGAGACGGGGCTGCACACAGGCTGGATCCAGAATGGGGGCCTGTTCATAGCATCCAACCAGCAGCGTCTGGACGAGTACAAGAGGCTCATGTCGGTGGGTGTGGCCCCCGCCAGAGGTGGAGAGCTCCCGCTGGCGTGGGTGCTCCCTGTCCTGGGGGGGGCTGGGGCAGCAGGGCTCGGGGAAGGAGCTCTGATCGATCTGGGTCACCATCAGACCCAGATGCCCTTGCTGCTGGGCCACCTGGGACAAGTGGCCATGCCTCCCTGCGCCTCGGTCTTCCCACCTTTAAAATGGGACCATACTGTGGAGCGGACATGGGAGAGGCCCAGTACGTGGGGCTATTCGGCCACTGTGCTCTGTGCTCACAGCAGACAGGATAGTTATGAAATCGCACCCCCAGAAGGCAGTGCCCACACTTCTCCCACGCCCCTGCCCCCCCCCCCACTTCCAGGCCTGGGGAGGACTGTTGTCCAGGAGACTAGGAGAGAGGCTCATGCTGCTGATGATCCTTGGATTGGGGTGGGGTGCTGTTTCCTAACCCCGAGCGGCCAGGCCTGGACCCCAAATCCCGGGACATGGGGGCAACGGGCTGCTCCAGCAAACTGTCCTTTGTGGAGTGCTGACTGAATCCGTGCTCGGCGCCCAGCGAGCAGAACCAGCTGTGTGGCCAGCAGGGGCCCATTGTCGCAGGGACGCTGAGGCCCCTGGGTGCCCGGGCAGGAGGCAGGGGCTGCTGGCTTCACCAGGACAGGTCTGGGTCTCTGGGCCTAGGCGCTGGCCCCCGTTCTGCTTCCTCCTCCCTAGCTGGCTCACTGGCTGGGACAGAGGCCTCCAAGCGAAGCTTCAGCCCCAGCCTTGGAGCCCAAGTCCCCAGCTGCTGAGAGGCCCCTGCCCCTTTTCAGGCACAGTTCTCAGCCAGAGACTGACCAGCTCAGCTCCTTTCTAGTAGGGTGGAGCCTGTCCTGGTTGTGATGCCTGGGGACACTCGATTGGCTGCCCTTGGGCCAATCAGATGTGATGGTGTGGCCTGTCCTACTAAGTCAAGGGCCCGGCCAGATGAACAGGTTGGTCTCCTGGGAGCTGGTCAGATTGGAGAACCTGAAGATCCTCAAGCTCAAAACCCCTCCAATCCCTGGGGGGTGATTTGCATTCGTTTATAGAAGCCCTTAGGTACCAGACACTGGTCGAAGCTCTTGAGGGATACCAACCACATACACGGTTAGCACCCTTAGTCTGCCCAGGGGACTTTAAGTCATCTGTGTCAGAGCTGGGTGAAGGTGGGACAGCTCCAGAGCCTGCTCCTGCGCACGGCGTCACGCTCCTCACCCTAGTGCGGAGATGGCCCACGGGACGGGGCGGCTGGGGCATGGTGACCAGCTAAGGCTTCCTGGAGGAGGCAGGGTTGGAGCCGACCCTTGGAGGTGCACACGGGGAGGACGGTGGCCAGAGGGGGTCTGCTCCCTGAGGGCTGAGTCCCTTTGCTCTCGCTCTCTCTAGCTGGGCAAGGCGTATGGCGTGGAGTCGCACGTGCTGAGCCCGGCAGAGACCAAGGCGCTGTATCCGCTGATGAACGTGGACGACCTGTACGGGACCCTATATGTGCCGCAGGACGGTACCATGGACCCCGCCGGCACCTGCACCGCCCTCAGCAGGGCCGCTGCTGCGCGGGGAGCACAGGTACCAGCGGCCACGGGGCCCTGTGTCCCCTGCTCCGGGCCTGAAGGACCCGGGGGCCCTGCTAGACGAGCGCGTCCTCTCAGAATCTCTTCTGTACTTTTCATCGTTTATCCCAGATGTGCACCTAGTCGTAGAAAACATTGGAAAGGACAAATAAGCAAAAAAGAAGAAATGGAAGTCACCCAGAGGGGACAAGTGTTGACATTTTAGTTTTACCCCCCAAATATTTTTTAGGAAGATATAGTTTTTGTAGGAAGAACCAAGCCACACTGCTCCGCGGCCTTTTGACCGAAGACCGGACTGCAAACACCTGTTGGCGAAGCCAGCCTTGCTTTCTGGAAGTCACTTTATGAGAAAGACCCCACGTGTCTGGGGACACGTCCTCCAAGTCAGGGGGTGCACGGGGTTGGCTTCTGGTGCTGGGGTGATGCCATTTCCCCGGCGGTGTTGCATGACACAGCGCCAGCAGGAGCAGGGTCCCAGGTCCCGTCCGGGCAGTAGGGAGCCGGTGATGGCGGGGGTGGTGGGCACCCTCACCGAGCCCTGCTTGGCTCTGGAAGCAGCCTCTCTCGCTCCCAGGTCATCGAGAACTGCCCAGTGAGCGGCATCCGCGTGCGGACCGATGACTTTGGGGTGCGGCGGGTCGCCGCCGTGGAGACAGAGCACGGCACCATCCAGACGCCCTGTGTGGTCAACTGTGCAGGTGGGCAGGGGTCTGTCCCGGCTCTCGGGCGGCCATGCTGGCTGCTCCCTAAGCCTGGCCCGTCTCCGGGTGGGGGGCCTGGGTGGGACAGACAGGCCCGCGGAGGCTCCCCCTGCTCACCGGGCTGGCGGCCCCGCCTGGAGCCACAGAGCCGACCTGTCCCTGCTCTGCCCTCAGGCGTGTGGGCCGGCGCTGTGGGTCGGATGGCTGGAGTCAAGGTCCCGCTGGTGGCCATGCACCACGCCTACGTGGTCACTGAACGCATTGAGGGCATCCAGGTAGGGACATGGACGGCCCCAGACCTGGTGTCAGGCTATGGGGGGCGCAGGGACCTGGCTCGGAACCCCAGTGCTTGCAGGTGGCGTGACCCCTCCCCACCCTGAGCCTCAGTCACCTGATCTGTGAAATGGGCATCATCACACTGGGGGCTTGGGGTGGGGTCAGAGTTAAGTGAAGGAACCCCCTGGTGCTGACCCCCTGGGCCTTCGGGGCACAGCTCCTCAGTGATGCCCAAGATCGTGTCCTGCGTGGTGCGGCCCGTCCAGGCTTTGTCACGTTCTGTGCTCCGGGTGCTTCTTCAGGGGACCCACGCGTGTTTGCCCACTCCCTAATGTGCCCTGGGTGCCAGTGTCAGAGACGCTGATTCCGGACCCTCAGATCCTCCTGGGGTCTTGGAGGGGCTTCTGCCAAGGGAGACGGGGCCTGTGCACCCCTGCCCTCTCTCCTCTTCTCCCCTTCTCATCTCTCCCCCACCCCCGCCCCACTGTGGTGCGGCTGATAGCTTCCTGTCACCTTGTCAACGACCATTCCTCTTTTCCTTCCTCCCTCCCTCCCTCCATCCCTCTTTCGTTCAACCCATTCATCTCTCCCTCCCTCCCTCCCTCCCTCATCCTCCATCCACTTATCAACCATTAACCCACCATTCCATGTAACCCTCCCTCCTTCCTCCCGCTCACCAGCAAACACTGACTGCGTCCCAGGCCTTATTCTAGAAACCAGGGCTGTAACAGAGAAAAGGACCCAGTTCTTGTCGGGGTGGAGCTGGGGGGCAGGTACAGACCAGCAAAGGACAATTCCCAAGCAGACTGATGGGGCTCTGAGGAGGCAGGCAGGGGGCTGCAGGGACTCCTAGCCCAGGGAGCCGAGTGCGGGGGCCTGGCAGCCCAGGGCCTGCAGGCAGTTCACGGGGGCCAAGGGGGTGGGGGTGGGACAGTGTGAGGTGGGACCCGGCAAAGAAGGTCCTGCCCTGGAGGAGCCTGGCTTCCGGCTCGTCACTGGGGCCACAGTGGTGGAGGGGCTGGGGCAGGTGCCGGGCCCTGCACACACTCCTGCCTCTCTCCCTTGACACAGGGCTTCCCCTGTTCGTGGACGAGTGTAATGGGATCCAGCACAGGCCTCCTGATGGTTCTGTGGGGAGAGCTCCCGGGTGGCCGCCAGGGGTCGCCCTCAGGCCACAGTGGGCTCCTGAGTGCTGGGGACAGGCTGTGTCCTGGGGAGGGATCCTTCTTCTTGGGTGGCCACAGGGCTGTGCGCCCTAGGAACCCCCAGGTCTGAGGGTCTGGCCCAGGGCTGGGTCTGAGCCGGGCACTGCCCCCAGCTGCTCTGTGACCTGGTCCCCTCCCTCTCTGGGCCTGGGGTGTGTGTCCCACAAATGCAGTGCACCCCATGCTCTCTGCTGGTCTGCATTCCACCGGCCCTTGCCTGCTTTTGCAGACACCGCTCTACTCGGGCACCAAGGGATACGAAGGCTCAGGCTCGGGGGCGGCGTTCCAGCTCCTCCGTCACCCAGCCAGGCAAGTCATAGTGCTGCGTGCACCTCAGTTTCCTTTTCTGCAAGATGGACAATAGGGTTCTGATTGCACGGGGCTGGCTGAGGGAGGAGCCCGTGACGGAGGGGAAGGGCTGAGTATGGTGCTTGGCCTGTAGCAGGTGCTCCTCAGGTGGTAGCTGTGGTGAGGGTGACAATGGCCAGAACCAAGGGGCACAGGGTGGTCCAGCCGGCAGGTGCCTCAGAGGACGAGATTAGGGAAGGCTGGAGCTATCAGGCAGGCTTCCCAGAGGAAGCAGCCAACAGGATTTGGAAGGAGTGGGGCACAGTTAAACAATGAAAGGGAGCAGGGTGAGGTCGGAAGGAAGGGACACCAGTGGGACCCGGGTCATAGCTGTAGGGTGGGCTTCTGCATGGAGATGGCACTGAGAGTGTCCTGAGGACGCCTTGGTCACTCCAAGGCAGCTCGGTGTGCTGGGGCGCAGGAGTAGAACGAAAGTCAGGGGCTTCCCCGGCCACCAGGTGTCCCCACTGTCCTGCTCTACGGAACTCCAGAGATTTTTGTTTTGTTTTGTTTTGTTTTGTTTTAAGAGTAGTAGTGAAAATGGAGGGAATGATATCATTCTATTTCTATTTCTGAAGTGCTCAGTTACCGAGGACTTCCTACGTGCTCCTTACAACAATCCCTCATTGCAGACATTCTTGTTCCAGTTCTACGGAGGAGCTGGACAACTAGGAGACTGGAGTGGGAGGGAGGGGCATCTGCCAAGTTATCCCTTTTGGTCTCTGTGTGTCCTCAGAGATGGGACAGAGGAGGCACATCTAATGTGCCCATCTCCAGGGTAAGTCGTCCAAGAGAGAAGGCAGTTCCTCCAGGGCCAAAGAGCAATAGGGGATGTGGTCTTTCCCCACTTCTGCTCAGTTTCTAAAATGATTTTGGTTTTCTGTATTGGTTAGATCAATAGTCAGTGTTTGCAATATAATGTCAATGTAAATATTGTTAACTCCTGAGCAAATAGCATCCAACTTTTGTGTTTCCTGGAGTTATTCATTGTTTTCCAGTTGCTCAGTTTTCTATATAACTGTCACTAATTACCTCTATCTATCTATCTATCTATCTATCCATCTATCATCTATCAACATTACCTTCATCCCCCAAATCCCATACTCATTATCAGTCACTCCCCATTTCCCATCCTACCCCCAACCTTAGATAATCACTAATCTGATTTCTGTCTCTATGGATTTTCCTATTCTGGACATTTAATAAAATGAAGTCGTACCATATATGGCCTTTTGGGTCTGACTTCTTTCACTCAGTATGACATTTTCAAAGTTCATCCATGTGGTAGATTGTCAGAATTTCATTCCTTTTAATGACTAAATAATATTATTTTTTTAATGGCTAAATATTCTACTGTAGATCACATTTTATTTATCTAGTCATCTGTTGATCGACATTTGAGTTGTTTCCACTTTTAATAATGCTGCTTTGAACATTCATGTACACGTTTCTGAGTGGACGTGTTTTAATTTTTCTTGGGTAGATATCTTGGAGTGGAATTGCTGAGTCATATAGTAACTATGTTTAACTGTTTGAGGAACTGTCAGACTGTTTTTAAAGCACGTGCACTGTTTCACATTCCCACCCACAGTGCGGAGGGGTCTGACTTCTCCACAGCTTCACCACCACTTGTGATTCTCTCTTTGATCCTAGCCATCCTAGTGGGTGTGAGGTGGAGAGTATCTCACTGGGGTTTTGAGTTGCATTTCCCCACCGGCTGATGACGTGGAGCATCTTCTCATGTGCTCATTGGCCATTTGTACATCTTCTTTGGAGAAATGTCTATGCAGATACCTTGCTCATTTTAAATTAGGTTGTTGGTCTTTTTATGGAGTTATAAGAGTGCTTGTTATATTTGGGTTATTTTTGGGGTCTGACCAGATTTATGCCTGGCACATATTTTCTCCCGTTCTGTGGGTTGTCTTTTCCCTTTCTTGATGGTGTTGTTGGCAGCACAAAAGGTCTTAATTCTGGTGAAGTCCAACTTATGGATTGTTTCTTTTTCTGCTTGTGCTTCTGGTATCATATTTCAGAAGGGCATTTCCTACAGTCCTTTTCCAAGGCCACAAAGATTGACTAGCATATTTTCTTCTAAGAATTTTATAGTTTTATCTCTTATTCTTAGATCTGTGACCCATTGTGACTAAGGTTTGTGCATGGTGTGAGGAAGGGCTCCAACTTCCTTCCTTGTGTGTGGCCATCCAGCTGTTTCAGCATTGCGTGTTGAAGATCGTTGCTTCCCTGTCTCCATGGCCTTGGCATCCTTGTGGGAAATCAGTGGACCATAAATATGAGGGCTTATTTCTGGACTGTCAACTGGATTTCAGTGATCTATATGTGTATCCGGTGTTAGTGCCCCCCTGTCTTGATTACAGTAGTTTTGTAGTGAGTCTTGAAATCGGGAAGCATGGGTCTCCCAGCTTTGTTCTTCTCTTTCAAGATTGTTTTAAATATTCTGCGTCCCTTGAATTTCTGTATGAATTTTAGGATCACTTTGTCTATTTCTGCCAAGAAGCCAGCTGCGATTTTAATGGGGATTGTGTGGAATCTGGATCAATTTGGAGAGCATTGTCATCTTAGTACTAGTCAAATCTTCATTTTATAAACATGGGATGTCTTTCCATTCATTTAGGCCTTCTGCAGTTTCTTTCAAAAATATTTGCCAAGTGTTTAGAGTACAAGTTTTGTACTACTTTTGTTAAATTTATTCGTGAGTATTTAAAAATACTGATGATTGATGGGGGTGCCTGAGTGACTCAGTCCATTAAGCGTCTGCCTTCAGCCCAGGTCATGATCTCAGGGTCCTGGGATCGGGCCCCACATCGGACTCCGTGCTCAGCAGGGAATCTATTTCTCCCTCTTCCCCTGCTTGGGCTCGTGCGCGCTCTCTCTCTCTCAAATAAATAAATAAAATATTTTTAAAAATTCCTTTTGATGGTGTAAGTGGAGTTATTAATTTCATTTTTGATTGTCCATCATTAGTGAAATGAAAACCAAAACAATAGTTTTTATTTGTCTGTTGTACATTGACCTTGTATCCTGCTGCCTTATTGAACTATTTTGTTAGTTGTAATAGTTTTTTAGTGGGTTCGTAGAATTTCCTCTTTGCAGGATCATGTCATCTGCAAATAGAGATTGTTTTACTCCTTCTTGTCCAAGGTTGATGCCTTTTATTACTTTTTCTTGCCTAATTGCTGTAATGGCTAGAAACTCCAGTACAATGCTGGGTAGAAGTGTTGAGAGTAGACATCCTTCTGTTGGCCTAATCTTAGAGGAAAAGCTGAAAATAAGTATGTTTCAGCTGTGGGTGTTTCTTAGATACCCTTTGTCAGGAAGTTTCCTTCTATTTCTAGATTGTTGAGTGTTTTTGTCATGAAAGGTGTTGGAAATACTTTTTCTGCATCTGTTGAAATGATGGGTTTTCATCCTACTCTGTCGATACCGTGTATTACATAAATTTGTTTTCAGATATCAAACCAACCTTGCATTCCTGGGATAAGTCTCATTAAGTCATGGCATATAATCCTCTTATCTGTTGCTGGATTCAGTTTGCTAGTATTTTGTTGAGGATATGTGCATTTATATTCTGTCACATTTTCCTCCCAAACACTTCGTTTGTCCTATCAACTACCTCTCAAGAATATGTTCTGCACAACTCTGTACAACAGGGAAATCATATACAGTCTGCAAGTCCCATTCCCCTCCCCTGGAGGAACGCTCCTGCTGTTCTGATCTCTGTTCTAGACGGATTGCCTCGTGACCTCTGCTCAGCTGTGACCCTGGGGCCTTCTTCACTCCTCTTCTGTTTGGATCCATGGCGTGTGCTCTGGTTGCTTATTGAGAAGGGGCAGGTGGTGGGTAAATATTTTCATGTTCATCGATGTCTGAAATAATCTTTATTCTTTCCTTACACTTGATTGATGGATTGACTGGGTCAGAATTCTCCATCTAAAACTGTCTGTCAGAATTTTGAAGACCTGGCTCCAGGTCCTCTGGCCTCCCAGGAATGCTGTGCCATTCTTCAGGACCCACCTGTTCCTCTGGTGTTCTGATGTTTCATCCCTGTGTGGCCTCTGTGCCGGCCTGTCCATTCACAGGGCATGGTGGGCCCTTGTGGTCCCTCATAGGCCCTTTAATATGGAGATTTGTGATGTTTAATCTGAGAAATTATCCTGGATTGCTGCTCTGATGTTCCTCTACTCCATTCCCTCTGTCTTTCTGGAACTCCTATAAGGTGGATGTTGGACATTTAGGGCTGTCTTATGATTCCCTTATTTTTTTCCTTTCCTGATTGCAATTTCTTCATCTTTTTTAGCCTCATATCTAGAAGATGGTCTTATCTGACCCTTCTGTTGCATTTTTCATTTTGATAATCATCTCTCATTTTGAGACCTCTTTCTTGATCTGGGATTGTTCCTTTTCCATGACCCCTTGTTTGATGGACCCAATCTTGTCTTATCTCTGAAGTTCCTGGTGTGGGTTTTAAGGGGAAGTTTCTGCAGGCCGACTGGAAGCTTGGAGAGGGAGGACAGGAGGGCATCTTGCAGGGGATGAGGGTGAGCCATCCTCTTTGATGAGGGCCCTGGTGTCCACATCTGGAGCCTTCCACAGGCCACTTCATGTCTCCACAGTAGAGTCCCCCGGGCTGCCGTAGAGGGGGGAATGGCAGTCCAACCCTCACCACCCCTGAGCCTGGAGCCTGTGGGAACCCACTTCTCCAGACCTCGGGGCTGTCCCCAGGCCAGGCTCTGGGCTGTGCTGGGTGGTGATGGAGAGGATCTGGGTTCACTGCTGTGAAGAGAACCTGGCCTGTCTTTCTGTTCATACACATACTCTTTCTCACTCACACACATGCACACTTACACACACATGCATGCACACACACACATTCACACATGTGTGCACACACACTCACACCCACACACACCATGCACTCTGCCCACCAGGCCCCTGCAGAGGGAGCTGGGGTGTCACAAGCCAGGACTCTACAGTGTGGAGGGGACGGGGAGGGTGCAAACTGGTCTGACTTGTGCATTTCCCCCTCCCCAAACCCGAGCTGGGGTGCTGGCCTTCACTCTGCGTCCTGCAGTATTGCTTGAGATCTCTGTGTGCTCTTGTCTCTCCACGGTTCTCTTAGATTTACGGCTTATACCATGTCCCTCCCTCCTTCTTTCCTCTCCTTCTTACATCTTTGCTGCTGTTTTATGGGGTTTAGGGAAGGAGAGACTTGAGTGGTGTGGGGGTTATCCACAGTGTAACCTGAGACCCCAGGTCCACTCTGTCCTCAGGGTTCTACAACAGGGAGGAGGTGCCATGGGCCACTGGGGGCCTGTGACCCCCAAGCCCTGGCTGACCCTGAGGCCTCTTTGCTCTGCCTTCCAGAACATGCCCAATGTCCGCGACCATGATGCTTCGGTCTACCTCCGCCTCCAAGGGGATGCCTTGTCTGTGGGTGGCTATGAGACCAACCCCATCTTCTGGGAGGAGGTGAGACATTGAGGGATCGAGGGGGTGGTTCGAGGCTGTGTCTCAGTGTGGAGAAGTCTTCTTCCAGAAAACCCACCCTCCCGAAGCTCCTCAGGTGTACCCCTGAAATGGCAGGTCCCTTGGCCCCAGAAGGGTCTCACTCATTTTTCTCTGAACCGGGCACACAGGTAGATCCAGAGCTGGGGCAGGGAGAGGGCTGGCCTCACAACATTAATAGAGGCTGCAGAATGTAAAATAATGGCTTTGGAAGACCAAAACACAAAAGCCCTGTGTCTGCAGCAAACAATCCCGCAGCCCCGCCTCCATGGCAGCGGCATCCCCCCCAGGCCTGGCTGCTTCCCCAGCAGCTTCGGGGGCTGCCTGAGGTCCGGCAGCCCCCTCGGCCCCCGTGAGCACGCCCGGGCCACCCTCGCTCCTGGATTCATGGAGAAATGGAATGACTGAGTGACAACTTTGGGTCAGATACTCTTTTACTTCCTGGGGGCAGGGAGAGACCAACATAAAAGTCCCTGTCCTGGGGTGCCTTTATTTAGGTGGGGAGACCCACAATAAACAGAGAAGTCATGGGTATCTGTGTGCTGAATGGAGCCGGCAGGTTAGGAAGAAGCCCGGTAAGAGTGGCGTGGAGGGATGTCCTTCACTCTGTGGTCAGGCAGGGCCCCCCCGGGGAGCTGACGGCAGAGCAGAGTCCTGCAGAGCGAACAGGTGGGCGAGGAGCTGCCTCAGGTGGGGGTGAAGGCCCTGAGGTCAGGTCAAGCTTGTCCTTCTCAAAGAACTGAAGGAAGGTTGGCGTGGCTATGGGTCAGTGGTGGACATGGACAGGGCCTGCTCTTGTAGGGCTTGGTGGGCCACAGAGAGTCACGGGGAGCCACGGGGGGCTTGAGAGCAAGAGAGGGCCTGGTCTGACTTAGGAGAATGGGTGGAAGGAGGCGGGGAGGCCGGGTGACGAGGGAGAGCACCATAACAATCCAGCGCAGAGTAGGTGGGCCTGGGCCAGCACGGGGAAGGGGAGTGGTCAGGCCCCACTGAGGGGTCGGTGGAGGAGGCCTGACTCGGGGCGGGTTGGCCGGGCTCAGCTCCTGCGGGGCAGCTGTCACAGGGCTGCGCCCCCGCCTGCCTCCCCAGGTGTCAGACAAGTTTGCCTTTGGCCTCTTTGACCTGGACTGGGACGTGTTCAGCCCGCACATCGAAGGGGCCGTCAACCGCGTCCCCGTGCTGGAGAAGACAGGGGTCAAGTCCACGGTCTGCGGCCCTGGTGAGTGGGGAGGCTGGGAGCTGGGGTGGGCGTCCCAGGGTCCTTCCGGCTGAGAAGTGCATCTGGCCTGTGTCAGGCCTGGATCTGGGCCACCCCTGCTGCATACAGGCAGGAGACGCACCACCCCCATTGTGGCTCCAGCAGAACCACGCGTGCGGTATGCGCCCCCTCTTCTTTCCCGGCACACGCGGAGTCTCTTTCATCCTCAGTCAAGACAGAAAATGGGTAGGGCCAGCCTCGGCCCACATCAGGGCTGGGGAGAGAGGCCCCAAAAGATACAGTGCTGTCCAAAGGGGAAAGCTTGTGACTGAGATTCTGAGTTCCCCGTGCCTCAGTGTCCTCATCTGTGAAATGGGTGACAGAGCACCTACTCAGCAGGCGTGGAGCAAGGGGCGCGGGGGAAGCCACATGTTAGGTGCAGGGCACGGCTGGGCCAGCAAAATGCCGTGAGTCTCCCGAGGGGAAGGGGTCACCACTCAGAGAGCGAGAGGCAGGCCAGGACAGGAGAGGGGCAGGTTCTGATGCCAGGGGCCCATGGCCTGCAGGGGTCCAGCTCTCTCTCCCCCGTGCACTTGGCATTGACATGGCCACCAGCCGGGGCTGCTTTAATCTGTTCGGCTCTCAGCAAGCCCAGCTGCAGTGAGCAGGATGGAAGCGCCCCTGAGCACTGGACTCAGGGAGCCGGGCGTGGGCCCTGGGCCGAAGACTCACTGCCCCCCCACGCTTCCCCAGGCTTGCGAGGGGCTGGCAGTGAGAAGCACAGGCCTGAGACAATCCCAGGGGCGCGAGTCACCCGGGAGCATCCTCTGTTTAATTAGACCGGGGAGTCACTGCTCCCATGAAGCCCTATCTGGGGGCGAGGTGCCTGTGAGGACATCTTGTGTCTGGTTTCCTGCCTGGGAGGGAGGGTTCGTGGGGAAATCAGCCTCTCTCCTTGCCAGGGAGGACAAGCACGGTCAACAGCCTTTGGCTTCCAGAACAGAACTCGGAAGTCCCAGGCCCCCTTGACTCCGGGGAATCTGGGGGCGGGCAGAGCTCCCATTCTGGGTCCCGGAGGTCACCGCCAAGGTGGGGGCCCCTGTCTGTGCAGCCCAAACGTCCCGTCATCCTGCATCCTTGTGTTGCTCAGGCTTGAGTCATTTGTTAAACATTCAAGAGACTCTCGTCCCCCGATACTCTCTCCTCACTTGCCCTGTGAGGCTGTTCTGAGCTTCCCATCCACCCACCCGCAGCCCGGGCCGGAAACATCCCCAGCTCTGCCCAAGTGCTCACGGGGTGACTGCACGGACCCGGGGAAGCTCCCGTCCTGATGCTCACTGCCCTCTCTGAACTGCCTCCTCCACCCTCCCTCAGCCACCCCGAGTCTTTCTTTCTGACCTCTGGGGTGTCCCCCTCTCCAGCTGTTTGAAAGTTTCCCCCAGGCCCTGCAGACAGATGGCCTCAGAGGCCGCCCCCCCACCCAGGTCAGGCCTGCTCCCCCCGCAGCAGGGAGCAAGCTGCACAGAGGTTAAGAACTCGGCTCGGGGCCAGGCAGTCCTGAGCGGTGCTCCCGCTTCCATGGTTCACTAGCAGGGGAACTGGGATAGATGAGACCCCGTGTCACATGGTCTCCTCATCTTTACCCCAGGGGACCACGGTGCCTGCCGGGAAGGGCTATTAGGAGTCCCTCACCACCCCCTCCTCCCACACTGTTTTCTTACTTTGCTTACTTGTGTATTTACTGTGTCTTTCGCTCTCCCGTCAGCTCGCTGAGGGGTGGGACTGGTCTCGTTCAGAGCCGAGCCCGGGGTACATACACGTGGGCTGCAAGTATTTGCAGATGGGCTAACTCACAGCCCTGGAAGTAAGTGCCATGATCCCAATTTTACAGATGAGGACACTAAGGCTCAGAGAGGTGAAGTGACTGGCCCAAGGTCACACAGCTAGGAAGGGGTAAAGCAGGGTTCAGACCCAGGATTGTGGCTGCAAAGCTCAGCTCTTTATAATGACATCCGAGGGTCCCCCGCCGTCCATGCCCTGGCCTCTGGGGGTGACCCGTCAGCAGCAGACAGAAGCAAAAGCCCCTGTCCCTCTCCTAAAGAACTTAGGATCATTCCTTCACTCAGTGACATTTATCAAGCACCTACTGTGTGCTGGGCCCTGTGCTAGGCCTTGAGACACGGTGGTGAGCGAAGCCCAGTCCCTGCCCTCACGGTTCTCCTGGTCCAGTGGGCAAGGATGACCGGCAGGGACACAGCAGGAAGGGGGTGCAGTGAGGGAGAGCTTCGCACTGTGATGGGGGCCGAGGGGAAAGGCCCCTCACCAGCAGGAGAATGGTGATAGTCGTGAGACAGACCTGGACCCTGCAAAGCAGAACCCGCTCCTAGCTGGGTGTTTCTGGCCGTAAATGCTGAGGAACTGGGAAATGTGGTGGGAGAGGTTAGGGAGGCTCCCTGGAAGAAGTGGCATTGAGCTGAGTCGTGAGGTTGGGGAAGGTCTGGATGAAGGAGGCACCTGCAGACCCTGCTCCAACCACCACATTCTCAGGAGACCCTGCCCCGGGTGCATGTGGCCTGGACAGAGCTTCAGGCCCCCCTTCCTTCCAGAGTCCTTCACGCCTGACCACAAGCCCCTGATGGGGGAGGCGCCTGAACTCCGAGGATTCTACCTGGGCTGTGGTTTCAACAGTGCAGGTGAGTGCGAGGGCCGCCACCTTGCGCCTCTGACCCCCAGAGCAACCTCAGGCAGAGTGGGGGTGGCTCCTGGTGGGGGGTGGGGCAGAGGAGGCCTGCAGGGAGGGGTGAGGTCCTATTAGCAGGCGTGCAGCACCCCAGGTGTGAGATCCAGGGCTTGGGGGGTGATGCCGGCTGTGGACACGGGGTGGGGGCTCTGGGGCAGACGGCAGACCTCTGGCTCCACTCTTGCCAGGAATGATGCTGGGCGGCGGCTGTGGGCAGGAGCTGGCCCACTGGATTGTCCATGGGCGCCCGGAGAAGGACATGTACGGCTATGACATCAGGCGAGTGTGCACCGGATCCTGTGCCCTGGGATTCGGTGGAGTGGGGTACATGGCAAGGGCAGTTTAGAAAGGAGCCTTCCCTGGAATCCAGAGGGCTTCTTGGAAGAGGTGCCGGCAGGGGCGGTGCTGCAGGGGCCTGGGTTTGGCAGATCCACGGCCCTTGACAGCTTCCAGGATTTCTTGTGCCAGCGTCCTGCTTGACCCTCTATGGATAGCTCCAGGATCAGCAGCGGGATCACAGCACCCCACTTTGCAGTTGGGGAGCCTGAGGCCTGGGGAGCAGGAGGGACCACACACATTGCCCAGGGAGTGAGGCCGAGCTGGTTATTGTTAGTACGAGGGTGGAGGCTGGGCGTCAGGCAGCCCTGAGCGGAGATGCCATCACTCACTTCCGGGGTGACTGGAATGAGTTGGACCCAATGCCGAGCCATTTCCTCACCGTGACGCCCGGGTCATGACGCTGTGTGCTGCCAACGTTGGGAGCAGCAAATGTGTCTGGGTCGGTAAAATGCTCTGGAGCCTGTCTGCAAGAAGCCCAGACAGACCTGAGCCGAGGTGGAGGGGAGCTGACGTCAGAGCTGGGTGGGGGGTGTCCTGGTCTCCACCACCCTCTGCCGGCGGGGCTGGGGTCCGCAGGCAACAGCTTGGAGGGGCGCCCCTGTGGGTGTCCGGCCCGCTCCCCTGTTACTGCTCCCAGCAGACAGCCTCCCCGGGGGGGACCCCAGTGGCCCAGTAGGGACTGGTTCAGCTCGTGCCCCCTCCTCTGCTAACCTTGCCCCTTCCTGGCCTGATGAGGACATTACACCCACTGGGGGGGGATGTCTGGCCCCCACAGAGGCAGACAGACAGACAAGACACTGAGATTCTCCGACTGCCACCCCCTCCATGGCGCCTGGCACAACAGTCTCCTCTGTGGCTGCCTCAGAGCCCGTCTGGGGCTGCGCCCACGCGCTCCCAAGAGAGGAATGTTCCAGAAATGATAGCTGCAAGGGGCCTCGGGGATGGGCCAGTCCAAGCCCCTCCTGCTACAGACAGCGAGAGGAGGCGCCGGTGGGGGAAGCCGCCTGTCTGCAGTCACTCAGGGCATGAGCTGGAGCGAGCAGGGACTGAGCTTCTGGCCTCCCTGGCGGGCGAGGGCTTCAGCCCTGGAACAGACCCGCCCCCCAGGGCTCACCCCGGGCCTCAGGGGGCAGCTTCCCGGTGCCGCAGTGTCCGCGGCTGCAGGACGAGGCTGGCCTGCCTGCACCCCTCCTGGGCTGAGGGAGACCCTGCAGGGAGGGAGCGCACAGTCCTGGATTCAGCAGGCAGCTTAGGTCTGGGCTGGCGGAGGCCCCGACCCAGTTGGGAAGGGGTCTGGGCCTCCCTCTATCGGCTGCCTTCCCTGGCAGGAGCGTCTTGTGGGCTGGTTTATGGCTCGTGGGCTGGGGGTCACAGGTCAGGAGGCAGAGGGCATGGGAAGGGAGCCCCTAAGAGCTGGGGCCTGGTGGGTCGAGGTGGGGGCAGTGAACTAGTCGACCCACCCTCGTGGCTCAGGCAGATGGTTTGCCCATCTGTGAAATGGGAGCAGTGAGCCACCACCTCTCAGGGGAGTGCGTCTGAAGCTCGTCCGTGCTTCACCCAGTGCCTGGCCTGGGCAGGGTCTGGAGGGCAGGCTGTGATTTTTAGTGAAAGTCCTCCGGGTCCGAGTAAGTGGGGAGGAGGAGTCATTCCTTCTTTGAGTGAGGAGGGTGGCGCAACCCTAGCCCCGTTGGCCCTGGCCACAGGCACCCTGCCTGCCTGCTCATGGGAGGAACGCTGCAGCCGGGTCTGCCTGGCCACAGGCAGGGGTCCGTCCCCCTGCCGATCCCCGGCCATGCTCTGGCTGAGCCTGAGCCCACGGCCCCGCCACGTGCACGCGGGCACAGATCTGAGCAGAGGGGTGGCGGTGCTGGCCAGTGGGGCACCTGCTGGAGCGGCCGTGTCTGTCAGTGTCGGGATCACCCGGGCCTGCCCTGGGTCCAGCTTCCTCTTCTGTCCCGGGGTGTCTGAGGAAGGAAATCCAGCTCTCCCCAAATCCCCAGCCGCCCGCCCCCGGTCCCCACCAGGACTCACACTCTCAAAGCCGCTAGGAAGGTCCCATCTCCCATCCTGGGAGAACCATGTCAGCTCCTAGTGAGGGGGGGGGGTGCGGAGTCTGATCAGAGCGGCCATCAACCGAGGGCAGACCTCTAGCCTCCTTCCTCCCCACCTCAGCCCCTCCAAAGCCTGCCGCGCATTTCCGAACTCCACACCCCGGCACACGGCTTCTCCTCCAGGAACCCTCCCCAGGCCCCTTGGCCCGGCTCCATGGCTCCCTCTTCTTGCAGCGTGTCCCAGAAGCTCCTGGCTCCGTGTGGCCCAGCAAAGGGCAGGCTGGGTTTCCTCTCATGTGAAACGAGTCAAACCAGGGGTGGCAGGGGGTGAACAGCGAGGGGCACTCAGCCCCGGGCCTGCACTGGAACGGAGCTCCGGAGAGCCTCGATATTACTAGTGATAATATCTGCAGTAATAAGCTCACTCCTATAGCCCCACCCCTGCCCCAGTCAGGCTGCCGTGCTTGCTAGAACTATGTGCAAAGTAAGAGTCAATTAGCCCCGATGAAGCTCGGACAGGAATCACTGAGGAAGAAACACAGATGAGGCCGTAGCTGGTGAAGAGGTGGGCCTGGAGGAGGCGTGAGGCGCCAGGAGGTGGACAGTGAGGAAGGGGACAGCCGGGGCGGCTGGTCCGAGCTGGGGCTCTGAGAGTGGGTTTGTGTGTGGGAGGGGCTGTCCGCGGAGACCAGATGGACAAGCCACTGGGAGGCTGCGGCCCCTGGACCCCCAGGAAGGCTGGAGGCGAGGGCCGTGTGTGGTGGGCGGGGGTCGCAGTGGGGAGGCTGAGCTGCCCAAGGCCCCACGGTCGGAGAGTAGAGCATGGACCCGCCCCTGAGCCCACGCCTCAGGGAGGACGCTGGCGGAGGGATGAGGGTCCAGTTTTGCCCTGGGTCCTTGGCCAGCCCTCCCCTAAGAGGCCCCCAAGGCAGTGACTGGCCCCTCCCTCTGCGACAGGCGCTTCCATCCCTTGCTCACGGACCACCGCCGCTGGATTCGTGAGCGCAGCCACGAGTCCTATGCCAAGAACTACTCGGTCGTCTTCCCCCACGACGAGCCCCTGGCAGGGCGCAACATGAGGACCGACCCCCTGCACGAGGTACCACACCCTGACAAGCGCGGTGACCCTCAGGACGCCCAGGGTACTGGGGTGACAGAAGGGCGTGTGGCGCCACAGCTCTGGGCAGGCGAGGCGATGAGGGGGCTCAGTCATACCCAGGGTCTTCCTAAGAGAACGTGCTCAGAATCCTCCCCGACTGCTGGCGCCGGGGCCCCTGCGTGGCAGGTGCGTCCGCGGGGGTGAGCATCAGCGGGTCGCACATCAGAGGAGGGCATGGCCACAGGGCAGCATGCCGAGGAGACGTGCTCCTGCTGGGGGAGCCTGCTTCGGCTGCCTTTCCTCCCCGGCCAGCTTCCACCTGTACGATGAAACCCACCGTCAGATGCCCTTCCCGGGGCCTGGCCCTGTGCACTCTCGCAGGGCCCCCACAACCCGGGCACCTGCCCTGTGCCCCCAGCCCGTGCTTGCTTTGCTTCTCTAGGGCCTTGGGCACAGATGCTGTGCCCTCGCGTCTCTGGTTCCTGAGCACTGAGCCCAGAGCCTGACTCTTAATACGTGTTCAGGGAACGTTTGTTGAATGGGTGGATGAAGGGGGAGGCAGGAGGGCAGGCTCATGGAGCAGGCAGCACTGAAGCTGAATAAAGGAACCTCCTTCATCTGGGACTCCAGTGCCTGGACCCCAGAGGGACCCAGTGTCCCCTGCACCTCCTGGGGAGAGGCCCAAAGATGTCAATGGGTCCCAGGCTGCCCTGCCTCTTAGCTCAGCTTAGGGGGCCAGCGAGGGTCTCGGGCCCCACAGGGGCTCCCGCTCTCCCAGCCTGCCCGGGTCTTTATTCACCCCGCACGGATCCTGACGACTCCGCGGCCTCCCTGGCAAACACAGGGCTTGCTTGGCTGGCCGTGGAAGGAGAGGGGCTCAGAAGGACCACTCAGAAGTGCACAGCTTTACCCAAAGGGCACGGCACGTGGCAGGTGCGGGAGCACCCCCTGCCCAGAGAGAAATCTGAATTCACCCACGCTTCCACTTTCCCACATCATCAGCCCTGCTCATTGATGCCTCCCAACCATGGATTGTTTTATTAAAGGAGCCTACGCCCCGCTATTTTCCCTCCTGCGGAAGGTGACTTCTCCCCAGGTCCACTCGCCTCCATCACTCACTGTGGGGTGATCTTTTGTGTCCTCAGTTGCTGCCCCCTTGGATGTCCAAGGAGGACATTTCTGGTGTGTCACCATTTGGCAGTGTGACCTTGGCCCCTTCTCTGCCTGCTCAGGGTCTGGGTGGTCCACGGGGCACCTGTCCACAGCCTTGGGCTTGCCTGTGGACACAGGGCCCTTCCAAACATGAGAGTAAGATTATCTTTTTTTCCCCAAACCAGATTTATTTTCAAAGAAATCTGCCACTCCAGGACTTTATTGCATCCATGTGATATTGTGACTTAGAATAAGAAACAGGTATAGTCTTTGTCCAGTTCCCTGTCTGGCAGGAAGTTCTGAACCCTTGGAATTTCCTCCGTGATGAGAGCCATAAAGGTGCCTTTTGTTATGTTAATGGGATGACTTTGGGCCGACCCTAAGGATGGAGGCTGCAGGCCAGGGAACCCAGCTGGATGCCGCGTGATTAGGGGACAGGAACTTTTGGTCCCACCCCTGGCCTCTGGGGAGGGAGAGGGGCTGCAGGCTGATTCAATCAGTCGTGCCTATGTACTGAAGCCTTCCTAAAAACCCCAAAGGAGATGTGGAGAGGCTCCCCTCCAGGCTGGGGAGCGCATGGAGATTTGGGCAGAGTGGCGCTCGGAGGAGCCCAGAAGCCCCCTGCCCTTCCCCACCCCTGGCCCGACGCCCCTCTTGCATCTGGCTGTTCCTGAGCTTTAACCTCCTGCAGTCCTCCAGCGATCCAGTGGGTAAAACCGCTCTCGGGGTCTTGTGAGCTGCTCTAGCAAATCAGGCCGACCCGAGGAGGGGTCCTGACCCACAGCTGGTCGGTCAGGAGTGCCGGTAACAGCCGGAGTGGAGGTGGGGACGGCCCCGTGGGACGGCCCCGTGGGTCCCCAACCCAGGGACTCTGATACCGTCCCGGGGTAGACAGTGTCAGAATGGAGCCGGATTCTTGGACACGGTCCTGGTGTCTGAGAATTGCTGGGTGTTGCGGGGGCGGTCCCCGCACACAGGCACGTGTGAATTAGGCCCAGGAAACCAATTTAGTCTGTTACATTTTTGTCTCGTGGCAAAGTACACATAACAGAAAATTTGCCATTTTAACCATGTTAAAGCACACAATTCAGGGAGATTTAAGGACGTTCAGGATGCTGTGTGACCATCACCACCACCTAAAGGAGACCCCGCGCCCATGGTGCAGGGCTTCCCCATTCTCCCCAACCCCCGCCCCGCCTAGAAAAACCACCCATGGGTTTTTCTGTGTCTGTGGATTTGCCTGTTCTGGACGTTTCGTGTGAGTGGAGCCATGCAACACGTGATCTTCCTTCCCTCAGCCTGCTGGGCTTGAGGCTGGCCCGTGGTGCAAACCGTGTCAGAACTCCGTTGCTCGTGAGGGCCGACCCCTGCTCCACCGTGCGGGCTCGCGCGCTTAGTTACCCGACGCATCGTCAGCCGGTGGACACTTGGGTGGTTTCCACCTGCCGGCTGCTGTGAACGTGGGTGTGCAGAGACCCACTGTGTCCCTGTTGTCGCTTCTCTCGGGGGATGAGGGGGACCTAGGAAGGAGATTGCCGGTCTGTCCCAGCAGCGGACAACGCAGCACAGATGGGGGGGCAGGGGGTGCTGAGACTGTAGAAATTCCTTTCTCCCGGTTCTGGAGCCTGGGAGGCCCAGAGCCAGGTGCCCGCTGCCCAGCTCCAGGTGCGGCCCCTCTGCCTAGCTGCTGGAGGGCTGCCGTCCTGTGTCTGCAAGCCCTCCTGGGATCAGGGCCCCACCCCGTGACCTCACTCCACCCTAACCCCCTCTTCATGGGCCCTATCTCCAAATGAGGTCCCACTGGGGGTTAGGGCTTCAACATAGGAATTTGGGGGGTGCAATTCTGTCCCTAGCAGGTGTCTCAGTAGGTTGGGGACTCTTGGAGTGGGGCAGGGGGAGCTGGGGGCGGGGCTCTGGGGCAGGCGTGGGGTCCTGGCTCCCAGCACGAGGACCTCTTTGCCCTCTGCTCCCTGGGGGGTCACTCATTGCCCTGCCTGGGGTTAGTCTGGCCCGGCCTGAAGGTTGCTTGTTCCCCACCCCTACCTAGGAGCTACTTTCACAAGGCTGTGTGTTCCAGGAGCGACAGGGCTGGGAGCGGCCCGGATGGTTTACTCCCCAAGGCACAGCTCCGGTGAGTAGGCACCCGGGCCTGGCCCCACTCTGTGCCCGTCCCCCACCCCACCCGCCCCTGCTGCCCAAGGTGGGGCCTGTGGGACGGTGAGTCATCTTGTGTGCAGGAAGGCTGAGCCCCCTGCCGATCTGCCCGTGAGCACGGAACCCCTCCCCTGCAGATGTCCCCGAGGCTGTCAATCACCGCCTCAGCGGCCAGGCCTTCCAGGGCTCAGAGAAGCCCGGGGCCCCTGGGAAAGCTGGTGTTCCACAGTGTGGGGGCCGCGCACAAGATCCTCCCCCCCCCCACCACCGTGTAGGAGAAATTAGTGCATCTTCTCATAATTTTGTTCGTATATTTTTGGCAACTGCAACTGTTATTTTATGTTAGTAGGAGGATTTAGCACCAAATTAGGCATTTCATGTTAGTTTGTAAGTTGGGATTTCACAGCCTCCTGGCCTCTGGGTGCCCTCCTGGGGGCTCCCCAGCAGCCCCCCAGTGCCTCCCATGGGCCTGGGGTTGTCAGAAAAGAACCCAAACCATCCTGCTTGTGAAACTCGGGGGCTGGGGTCTGCTGGAGCAGCACTGTGATGCTTTCAGCCCAATCAGGGGGATAGTATTTGATCCAGATTTGTGCAAATTGAAATCCCTCTCCTGCTGCTCTGTTTTACCAGTCCCCTTCCTGTGCATCCACCTCCCATCTCCATAGCAACCCTCGGCCCAAGGCCAGTCCCAGGGCATCCTGGGGCAAGTGAGGCAGAAGTCAGAGCTCACTAATGCCCAGAGGTCAGTGTTCTCAGGCTCCTCGGTCCTGGCCCCTTCTCCAGTCGGCCTATAGAGACCCTTGCTCTCTGCCTAGGAGCACGGAGCTCCTCTTGAGGTCCTAATCACCGGAAGGACAGACAAACCCATGCGGATGGAGGAGGCAGGCTCTCTAAGACACCAGGGGGAGCAGCCTGTGCCCGGGAGGCTGAGAGGCTGGGGCCACCAGGACAGGATGGGCCTTGAGCAGAGCCCTCTGTATCCCAGCTGGCCTGTCCCTGGAAGCCCCTGTCCCCTGTAATCCATGGGAGAGCAGAGGACACTGGAGCAGGGATCGGGAACATTCCCTTGGGCTGGAGATGGGCAGGCTCTGCACCCTCTCACCTGGGAGCCATCCTGGGTGTCTAGGGCACGGGGTGATAAGACATCCCCCAAATCCCGGATGCCCGGGCAGGCTGCAGCGAGCTGGAATGTCCCTTCTGGGGTCTCAGGGGCCAGTGGGAGCCGCGCCTGCAGGGCAGGGAGAAGACTGTCTGCAGAGGCCCCTCCCAGATGCCAGGGCTTGAGTGGGGCTCGGGGCAGCAGAGTGGCCCAGTGCAGTCAGAACCTCACACTCGGCTCTTGCCTGGGAAAGGAGGCTGGGCAGGGCTGGCCGGGCTGCAAGGTGACAGTTGACTGGCTCCCTCAGAAGCAGCAGAGGTGGGGAAGGGCCTCTTGGCTTGTGGGCCTCTCCACGCTGCTGACAGGTGCAGGACGGGCCAAGGCAAATGGCGGTGGAGGAACCAGCCTCTGGGGCCCACCCGCCGCCAGGTCTATGCCAGGCCTGTCAGGTCCTTGCCTGTGACCTGGGCAAGCTTTAGCCTCTCTGCCTCAGTTTCCCGTCTGTAGAAAGGATCTCCCTCCCTAGAAGCTTGAGGCCCTTGGAGCAGGGCGTGGTCCTGATTGGGATGGCAATGGCATTGGGCCCCCAGCCCCGTCACCCTGGCCCTCAGTGGGCTGGTGCCGGGGCCTTATCCTGCTGCCTTAGCCTTGCCTCAAAAGCCCTGATGGTGGCCCTGATGTCCCTGGTGACCGCCCCCCTTGCCTCCCTGTCAACCCCGTCTCTCCCTTCCCTGGGTCCACCCAACTTCTTCTCCATCCTCCTGGGCCCCAACCAGCACAGCCCAGACTCTCTACCGGCTCTCAGACACACCACCACGGCCGTTAAGGTGTCATCTGTGCAAGGGATTACGGACGGCCTGAGCCCCGTCCCTTCCCCCTGCCCCTGCACGCACAACACACCCCTCCAGAGGGCAGCTCGGTGAGGCTGGGCCAGATCGTCCGCTCCATCTCTGCCTCTGCGGGACCCAGCTCCCTGCCTGCCGGGCCGCACGTGTGTGTGTGTGTGTGTGTGTGTGCACGCACGTGTGCATGTAGGGAGGGACAGAGGGACGGAGGGAAGGGAGGAGTAGGAGGACCGTGACGGTGTCTTCTCCCAGGTTCTGCAGTACGACTATTATGGGGCCTATGGACACCAGGCGCACGGAGACCATGCCTACGGCCGCCTGCTTGGGGACGAGTACACGTTCGACTTCCCGCCGCACCACAATGTGGTCAGTGCCGAGTCCCCTGCCCCCATCCCTGGTGGAGCACGGGGGAGGCCCCCGTGCTTGACTGACTCCGTTTTGAGGAGGAATCTGTGATGTTTTCCCGGCCTCCTCTGTACCAGGGCTTGGCCCGCGGTTAGGCTGAGGGCAGTATTACTGCTTCCAGGTGGGCTGGGGCTGGCTGTGTGGCCCCAGGCCAGGGGCTGCCCTCTCTGAGCCTCCATCCCTCCTGCCCTGGAGCTGTTCTGAGGGGAGCTTTCATGAGACCCTGTGAGTGACTAGCTCCTTCCTCCAGGCCCAGCGTGGTGGGCTTTTACCTGTGGCTCTCACACAGCAGATCTGGGACACAGAGATCCCAGACCGGCCCCTCCAGGGGACAAGCAGAGGGTCTGTGGTCTGGGGTTTGCGTGTGGCCCCTCTGGCTCCGGAAGTGGGCAAGTGAGGCTGGTCAGACGGTGACCCCAGCCACTCATTGCCCCGGCCCGAGTGCCTGGCTCCCGACTGCTGCCGGGGTGGGGGTGACAAGGACTTGGGGCCCGGCCACCCTCTGCAGTCTGCACCACGCAGAGATGTTCTCATGGGCACTGTCTACAGAAAACAACACCAGCTGCCATGCGGGGTGGCCCAGCCATTTGGTAAAGGGATCACCCAGTAGAACATGGCCCAGCCTGTGTCCTCATGGCTGCCCCGGGAGAGGGAGCACGGCCTTAGCCGCCCCCTGAGGTGGGCGTGAAGCCAAGGCCTCCACCTGCAGGTGCCCGGCCCAGGGCGGCCTGGGAAGCAGCCGCGAGGAGGAAGGCAGCCAGCCAGCTTCCTGGGTGTGTGGCCTCTGAGGTCACCTGGGGCCCTGGCTCAGAAGGGCCCTGCGCCGGGATTAACACTGCTGTCGCCACCTTGAAACTCTTCATACTTTCGGAACCAGGGCCCACGGTTCCATTTTGCACTGGGCCTCACAAATGCTGCAAGTGGTCCCGTGATCTCCCCCAGGCTTGCTCTCCTGGTGAAGGCACCGGAGGAGGGGCTTGGGAAATGGAAGCAGAAGGCGCGTGCGTCCGGAAGCTCCCGGAGTCCCTGGCGCTGCCTCTCGGGGAGCGAAGGGGGCTCCGTCTGGCACTTCAGGGCCGGCAGGACGTCTGGCCCTTGGGGACGTGGGAGCTCGGAGGGGATGCCAACTTGGCTTGATGGCTTCATCCAGCCTCCACAAACACGTCTGAACAGTCCCGAAGCATGAAACACGCACTTGTTCTCGACGTTGGCAACCTCCCCAGTCCGGGGAGACGAGAGTCAGCCTGGAGACTGTTTTGGGTTTTGCTCTGCAGCCCCAGCAGCGTCAGCGAGGGTCCCGCAGCGCCTGACGGGTCGCAGGAGCTCCACAGAGGGGAGTGGTGTCTGCAGAGGGGTAGAGGTGCGGCATCGGGGGCTCGGGAGTGGTGCAGCCCGGGTGGGGTGCCAGCCCTCCCGGGGAAGCCCGATCGGGTCCTTGGCTGGTTTCCCTGGTGTAAATACTCTCACCACTCACTCCGATACACCCACGCGGCGCCACTGGATGCGGAGCTGGGCGAGACACACACCGCTAGACAGACCTGGCCCTGGGCACGTCTGTGGTCTTCCCGCTGGGGAGCCCCTGCCCCCCTCCCCCCGCCGCCAACCTTGTCCCCTCCCCGGGCCTCGAAGGGCACTTAGCGCGAGGTGGCTCGCGGCAGTTTCCTTGTCAGAGATGGTGGACGGACCGCGGGGTGGGGGGAGGTCACACAGGTCCCTGACCCACAGTGAGTGCTCGGTGGGGGGTAGCTTTGCTGCTACAGTTTTCTCTTCTGTCATAACAATAAGATTGGCGCCTCTGCTTGGCATCTGGGTGATGGGTTCAGAGCAAAGAAGCAGGGGTGAGGTGATGGAAGACCAAGGAGAAAAACACACGGATAACACGGGGCTTGGAGGACCTGGCTGGGGCATCTGTAGACCATCAGCGGGGCTGTTGGGCTCTCTTTTTAAAAATACAGAACAGCTTCATTGAGCTAGAATTCACATACCATACAGCCCGTCCCTTTCAAGTGTACAATTCCACGTTTGTTAGTGGACTCCTGGGCAGAGCACCGTCCCCACCATCGGATGTTAGAACACCTTTGTCTACCTGCAGAAGAAATCCCGGCCCGCTAGCCGTCACCCCCCGCCCCCCACCCTCTCCCCACCGTGTCCCCACCCACGGGCGGCCACTAAGCTACTTCTGTCCCTACAAGTTCACCTCACTGGGACATTTCAGAGCAGGGACTCATACAGTGTGGTGTCTTTCGTGACTGGCTTCTTTCACCCAGCACAGTATTTTCAAGGTCCATCCACGTTCTAGGGCATATCTGTGCATCACGAGTATTCCATTACATGGATATACTGCAGTGTGTCTGGTCATCTGTGGATGGACACTCGAGCTATGTCCACGTTTCAGCTGCTGTAAATAGTGTCGCTACGATTGTGCGTGGACAGGGGTCTGTGTGCGCCTCGGTTTTCATTTCTCATGGGTAGATACTAACAGTGTTCGTGAACCAAGGTTTGTATGTGGTGTGAGGAAGGGCTCCAACTTCCTTCCTTGCGTGTGGCCGTCCAGCTTTGTCAGTACCATGTTTTGAAGATTGTTGCTTCCCCCCGCCTTGCCATGGCCTTGGCATCCTTGTGGGGAATCAGTGGACCATAAACATGAGGGCTTATTTCTGGACTGTCAACCAGATTCCAGTGATCTATATTTATATCCTGTGTTAGTGCCCCTCTGTCTTGATTACAGTAGTTTTGTAGTGAATCTTTAAATTGGGAAGCGTTGAGTTTCCCAGCTTTGTTCTTTTTTCTCAAAATTGTTTTAAGTGTTCTGCGTCCCTTGCATTTCTGTATGAATTTTAGGATCAGTTTGTCAATTTCTGCCAAGAAGCCAGCTGCAGTTTTAATGGGGATTGTGTGGAATCTGGATCAATTTGGAGAGCATTGTCATCTTAGCACTAGTCAAGTCTTCATTTTGTAAACATGGGATGTCTTTCCATTCATTTAGGTCTTCTGCTGTTTCTTTCAAAAATATTTGCCAAGTGTTTAGAGTACAAGTTTTGCACTTTTGTTAAATTTATTCGTAAGTATCTGTAAATTCTTTTTGATGATGTTAAGTGGAATCATTTCCTTAATTTCATTTTTGATTGTCCACCGTCAGTGAAATGAAAAACAAAACAATAGTTTTTATTTGTCTGTTGTACATTGACCTTGTATCCTGCTGTCTTGTTGAACTATTTTGTTAGTTGTAATAGTTTTTTAGTGGGTTCCTAGGGTTTTCTATATGCAGGATCATGTCATCTGCAAATAGAGATCATTTTACTCTTCTTTTCCAAGCTTGATGCCTTTTATTACTTTTTCTTGCCTAAGTGCTGCCCTGGTTAGAACCTCCAGCATGATGCTGAGCAGAAGTAGCAAACAGCTGTCTTGTTTCTGATCTTAGGAGGAACGTTTTCAGTCTTTCCCTGCTATCGTATGTCAGCCGTGGAATTTTTGCACATGCTTTTAATCAGGTCGAGGAAGTTCCTTCCTATTCCTAGATTATTGAATATTTTCATGATGAAGGATGTTGGATTCTATCAAATACTTTCTCGGCATTTATGGGGATGATCACATAGTTTCTGTTTTGTGTTTATTAGTATGGCACATTCCATCAGTTGATCTGGGGATGCCCAACCAACCTCCCATTCCCAGGAGAAATCCCTCTTGATCATGGTGTGTATTCCTTTTTACATGTTGTTGGATTTGGTTCACTAGTATTTTGTTGAGGGCATTTGTATCTATTTTCATGAGGGATATTGGCTTCGTTTTCTTACGAGTCTTTGTCTGGTGGTCTTTGTCTGATTTTGGCATTAGGGTGATGCTGGCCTCATGGAACAAGTATTTCCTACTCTTCTATTTTTTTGAGTTTTGCCAAGACTCGGTGTTAATTCTTCTTCTAATGTTTGATAGAATTCACCAGTGAAGCCGTCTGGGCCAGGGATTTTCTTTATAGGGAGTTTTAAATTACTAACCCAATCTCTTTTTGTTATGGATCTATTCAGATTTTCTATTTCTTCTTTAGCTTTAGTTACTTGTGTCTTTCTAGGAATTTGTCCATTTCCTGTCTCACGTGTTGTCGGATGGGTATGTGTGGTATCCCCTTATAATCCTTTTATTTCTGTAGGGTGGGTGATGTTCCCTCTTTAGTTCCCAATTTAGAACTTTTGAGTCCTCTCTCTTGTTTTTTTTTTGTGAGTCTAACTGAAGGTCTGTTGATTTTGTTGATCCTTTCAAAGAACCAACTTTCCTTTGCTGGTTTTCTCAACTTTTCTATTCCCTATTTCATTTATCTCCATTCTAGTCTTTATCATGTCTTTCCTTCTGCTTGCTCTGGTTTAATTCACTCTTCTTTTTCCAGTTTTCTCCAAGTGGGAAGCTCGGGCATCGATCTGAGAACTTCTTCTCCATGGAGGCATTTGCAGGTGTGAGGTCACTGGGAGCACGGCCCTGACTTCGTTCCCTCCATTTCCGTGTACCACATTTCCACGGGCATCCTTCTCCAAGAATTTTCCAATTCCCCTGTGAATGTTTGCTTTGATCCTTTGGTTATTCAGGAGTGTGTGGGTTAATGTCACTTATATGTGAACGCTCTAATTTTCCTCCTACGATTGACTCCTAATGAAATTCCATTATGGTCCAAGAACATGCTGTGTGTGATCTTAATCCTTTTGAATGTACTGCCTTTTTTTATAGTGTATGAGCTCCCTGGAGAGCGTTCCCTATGCTTGAGAAGAATGGGCATGGTGTGCTCCAGCTGCGAGGGGGAAGGGGGCCTCAGAGCAGGTGTGCGGCAAAGAGCCCAGCGCCCCATCCTCCCGAGGACGCACATCTCAGAGCCCTCATGGCATCCCTCCTCCCTGGAACTTTTCAGATCAAGAAAGAGTGTCTAGCCTGCAGAGGGGCCGCTGCTGTGTTCAACATGTCCTACTTCGGGAAGTTCTACCTGGTGGGCTTGGATGCGAGGAAGGCTGCCGACTGGCTCTTCTCTGCTGATGTCAGCCGACCCCCTGGTATGACCTCCAGAGGACCATGCTCCTTTTCCACTCCAGTGCCAGGAAGAACTCCATGGGCACAGCCCTGGGTACCTACCCTGGCAAGCTGACCCCGTCCACTCTGGGCTCCTCTAGCTCATGGCTCTGCCCCTGAGGCTGGCCCCATGCCCCTGCATCTAGACCCTTCTGCCCCCATTGCCAAGTCCCAGCCCGTAGGACCCCAGCACCTTCCTCCCTCCCTCTTCCTGCCCTTCCTTCCCCTCCTCCCTCCTTCCTTCTCCTTTACTTTGTTCCAGAAAGGATACAAGGCAGCAGGCCTTCAGTAAATGTCTCCTGAGACTGTGGAGCCCATTTAGTTACCCCCATAGGAATGCTCTCCCCAAACAGGGTTTCCAGAATTAAATGAAAATACAGGATGCTCAGATAAATTTGAGTCTCAAGTGAAGAAGGAACAGTGTTTTTGTATAGGTGTGTCCCATGTACTATTTGGGATATTCATCTCCTTTTTTATTACCCACCCTCCACCTACGTGTCCATCCACCTAAAAAACTCACCCACCCCCATCTGTATCAGTGCCCTGGGGCTGCTGTAACAAAGCACCACAAACTGGGTGGCTTTAAATGATCGAAACATATTGTCCTACAATTCCAGAGACTAGAAGCTCATCATCAAGGTGGCAGCAGGGCTGTGCTCTCTCTGAGACCACGGGTAGGACGCTCAGCAGCCTCTCCAGCTCCCGGTGGGGCCGACGGTCCTCGGGGTTCCTTGGCTGTGCCGTATCCCTGTAGTCTCCGCCCTGATGTAACACGGGCTTCTTTCTCCCTGCGTCTTCTTCTTCTTATAAGGACACCAGTCATACTGGATTAGGGCCCACCATAATGACCATCTTAATGTGATTGCATCTGCAAAGCCCTATTTCCAAATAAGGTCACGTTCATGGGGTTGGGACGTCAAGCTATCATATTGGGGGACACAATTCGGCCCATTACACCATTTCCCCAGCCAGCCAACCCAGCTGCCCACTTACCCACACACCCACGTACCCTCTGCTCACCTCCTCCTAAACCTCCTGCCGATCCACATGCTGCCATCTGCCCCCCACCCCTACCCAGCACCCCTCCATCCACTTTCCCCTTCACCCCTCTTCATTCATCCATCTGCATGGTCACTTATTCAACTGACGTCAGGAACCTCTGCTCAGCCAGCAGGGGCGCACCAGAGTGAGTGAGACAGGATCCCTGCTCCTAGGAACTTTCCAGCATGGTGGTGGGTGTGTGGGAGGGTGGGATGAGGGGAGTCCAGGTCCCGGCTTGAGGCATTTCAAGAAGAAAGAAGCTCCACTCTTGATCCTTCCTCCTCGGGGGATGGCAGCGCTGGGGGACCTGCCCATCCCTCTCTGGGCCACCGGGTCGTGGTGTCACTGTGTGTCACTGTGCGGAGACACCTTTCGAGAGCACCCCGTCACGCGGTTCTGCAGACTCGTGTGAGCTGAGTGGCTCACACGCTCTGGATCTTCCTCCTGCCCCCAGGCTCGACCGTGTACACCTGCATGCTGAACCACAGGGGCGGCACCGAGAGTGACCTGACCGTCAGCCGCCTGGCCCCCAGCCCCCAGGCCTCCGCCCTGGCCCCTGCCTTTGAAGGTAAGCGATGCCCCGTGGGCTGAGCCGTGCTGTGGCCTGTAGCTGCTGCTGGCGGGCCGGACGGGGAGCGGGGTGCGGGCGGCTCTGCCATTACCCAGTGCGCTCGCAGCGGTCAGGGCTGGGGAGATGAGAGGCCTCGGTTCAGGCTGAACGTTCAGCTTTGTTCAGGCAGTGATGCTGGGCTGTGAGTACTCCGTGATTATGTCCTTGAACCTGTCCGTACTGTGGTGTTTCTGAGCCCACACCGTGGGCGTGCTCAGCTTGTCTGCCCAGAACAGAGTGAGCTGGGGAGAAGGCCGTGCCTCCCACTGGGCGATGTTAGCTCCTTTCTGCCACTAGCCTCTCTGCGGAATCGACTTTCATCTATGCTGAACCCCAACTCCGGCTGGGGCAGGTCCTTAGAAGATACGCGGTTCAGTGCTCAAGCTGTTACTGGGTGGCCCTCTGCAGTGCCTTCAGGTTTGCTTGCATGCCTCCAGGGACAGTTAACTCAGTACCCGTCTTCCCTGTCTGCACAGCCCCACTGACTGCTGCACTGAGCCAGATCTGCTTCCCAACACTTCAACTCCCCGCCCCTACCCCCTGGTTCCTGCGGGAGCCATCTCATCTTTAGTCCTGTTGACAGTCTCCGCTATAGGGAAGAAGAGAGGTGGCTGAGAGTCGCAGAGAGCGGGAAGCACCCTCCTTCTCCAGGAAGGGGCCCCATTGCCACCTCTGAGAGGCTGGATTTGCAGAGGAGAAAGGTGTCGACTGTGCGTGGGCTGACTGCACCATCCAGGGCAAGGGTCAGTAGGCTGGACGTGCTTGGCCCATTCTGAGAAGCTGGTGGCAGCCCCCTGGCTCCGGGCCTGGCTCTGTGCTGCCGACAAATGCAGCTCACGCTGCGGGGGACTCGGTCAGGGTCCCCGGCGCGGGCGAGGGCGCTCTGGCCTGGGCACTGGGAGAGGGGGGCGGAGCGAGAAGGAGGCGCGCTGAGCCAGGATGAGGAAGGCTTCCTGGAGGAGGTGACGTCTGGCCTGAAAGGGGGCTGGGAAGAGCTGGTGGAGAGGTCAGCAGGGCTGGAGAAAGGCTGGTGGGAGCTTTGTGCGGCCCTCACCCCCGAGCAGAGGGGAGGCCCTGACACAGACATAGCTTCCATCCTTGCAGAGCGAGTGGAGCTGGGGCTGCAGGGCAGAGGGACCCCAGTGAGGGTGCAGAGGGTCCACGGAAATCCTGGGCCAGGCCCTGCCACTGACTGACTCTGTGGCCCATGGCTCCGAGCCTCAGTTTCCCCATCTGGAGCATGGGGACCTCGCTGGTGCCCTCCACGGGGAGCTGTAGTGAAAACCCTTTGTAAACTGAGCCACTGCCCCTAGGGTGTGCCCATGATACGCCTTTCAAGATGATTCCGGTGGATTCCTGGCCCTGGTCCTTGCCCGGGCTGGGGGAGAGCAGGCTCTGGGCAGAGGGAAGGGAAGGGTGCTGATGCTTAGGGAGGTGTTTTTCCTAGAGTCTGGTGCCTCCAAGTTCGCCTGGGAGTGAGGGAGGGAGGGGTTGGCGCTCGGCCTGCCAGTGGAAGTGTGCGTGGCGAGGGAGGCACGAGGACGCCTGCGTCACATCCTGGGAGGCTCTGGAGCGTGCTGACGGGCCCGGGGACATGGCCAAACATGAGAAAGCGGCGGCGTGCGGACTTTGTTTTATTTTCAGCCTGAAAAACTGTACCATTCCTGCCATGAATATGCATGTCTGTTCAATATGCACGTTTCAGACGGGGGTTAATTACACCTGTTACATCAGATCGCCAGTAAGTCAAGAGGATGAGGTGATTTGCATTCGATCAAGGTTGTGTACAAAGCAGCTGTCAATCCTAAACGTGATCTTGCTTGATCTTTTATATCACAAAAGGAAAACGTGCTCGTAGGAGGCATTTCGACAATACTGAGAAATAGAAAATACAATCTGCAGCCCCCAGCTCCCCAGCTGGAGGCCGAGCCCTGGACTCTGTGCCCGCTGACCGCCCTCTCTGCCACGTCCGCTTGAGGGCTGGGCCTGGAGCTGGGCTGACTGTGGCCTCAGGACCAAGCATTTTGGGTCTTCGATGATGGACAGCTGCCCAGAAAATGCCAGGTCCACCCGCCGCCACCTCTTGGGCACCGGTGGCCCCAGGAACTCGTGTCCTTCAGGGAGGGGCCTCAGGGGGCTTCAGAGAGTCACAGCATGTGTTGGAGGCTGGGTCAGAGGACACTGTCGCAATTCCAATGTCCTTTAAGAGTCCTCAGCCCAGGGATGGGGTGGGGGGGCCTTTGGGGGCTGACTTGTCTTTTTGGCTTCTGTCTCCCTTTGTGCTCATCAGTGTTAAGAGAAAAGAGAAAGAGAGGAAACGTAATCAAACCTGGCCAGTAGATTTTTTTTATCCAGTGGATGCTCTCAACAGCCCTGTAGGAGCCGGTGTGGCTCTGCCCATCTTACAGATGGGAAAACAGGCTCAGACAAGAATTGAGGCCAGTGAGTCACAGAACTGCCTCTGGGCCAGGCTGGACTGGTGCCAAGACTTACATGTTCCCCAAGACAGGCTCCTCCTGGGGGTGGGGTAGCCTCCCTGCGAAGTGTGTAGGTGGCAGGGATTTGGGGAGCAGCCCTTTCTGCCCAGCCCCATGGTCCAAAGGATGCAAAGGTGCGTGCAGGGTAGGGTCCTGGCTGGAGGGAGATCGTGGGGTGGGGACAGGCAAGGGGGCAGGCCACTGCGGGGAGGTGGTGGAGGTGCTCTGCAGGGTTGGGGTGGGGTAAATGGGCTTCCCAGAGGAGGGGATGTTTGAGCTGGATCCGGGAAAATGAGGAAGTGGCTCAGGTCCTGCAAGGCACTAGTGAGTGGGAGGGCCTGGATGAGCATGTGTCCTGGCCCAAGAGTAGAGCCAAGGGTATCAGAACCAAGTGCCTTGTGAGGGGGCAGGTGTCACGGGGCAGGCTCTGTCAGGCCGGGGGAACACTTTGAGACCATCCTGAGGGCTGTGGGAGTGAGGGTGGGAGGTGGTGAGGTTGGACTGGCATGGGACTGGGGGCTGGGGCCAGGAGGGGACAGATCCAGCCATCGAAGCCAGAGATGCCGCAGCCCGAACAGAGCCACAGCCGTGGGCACAGAGAGAAGGGGCTCAGAGGCGGCTTTGGGATGTGAGGATGAAGGAGACAGCAGGGCCGCGGGTGACCCCAGGGCCTGGCCATTTGCCAAGAAGTTCCTGCAGCTCTGATGTTCAGGGAGGGCTTCCTGGAGGCTAAGGCCTCTGAGTTGGATCTGGAGGGGCAATGGGATTAGGGGAGCAGAAGAGCACACAGCACATGGGGTGCCAAGGTCAAGAATGTCCCAGGGCTCACCTGGAGGAGGGGGGGAGGAGGGCGGTGGGGACCACAGGCCCTGCGTCTGCTCCTTCCCCTGTGGGGTGGGAGAGGGAGGAGGGCCCCAGTGCCAGCCTTCCGTTGGTGGTCCCCAGCCCAGCCCAGGAACCTCCGATGAGAGCCCCCACAGCAGGTGCTCTTGGAGAGGCAGAGAGGCATCCCCAGCCCTCGGCCACCAGCGGCACCCTCCCTGGCCAGAGAAGGATAGTGAGGCATGCCTACTTTTTAATTATGGTGGGGGGCTGTACCACAGCTGTGGGGGAGCCCCTGGGAAGGGCCAGAGGAGGGCACTTAGGAGGATTCTCCAGCCTCAGGAGCCCCCTGGCCATCTCCACCGGTGCCCACTGGCTATGCCCGGGTCCGGGGGTGGTGTTGGGCCTGCGGGGGCCGATGCCCAGAGCCAACAGTGTCCAGGGCCGAGAGAAGCAGCTGCCACGCAGGACCCCGGGAAGAGGATGCCTCCCAGGGCAGAACCAGCTCTGCTCCTGGCTCTGGGCCACTCCTGGGGGCCTCTCCCATGGTGGCTGTGTCCACCTGGCCCGTGAGGCCAGCTCTAGTCGCATTCCCACTGTGCAGATGGAGAAGCGGCCGGGAGCTCTGCGATCGCCCGGTTCCACTGCTCTGAGGCTGGGGACCCTGTCGGAATTAATGAGGAAGGAAGCAGAGAGGCAGGATGCGCAGGGAGGTACCGAGACAGCTGAGATGAAGGAGGACCCCACCCCCAGGCCCACCTCCCCTGGTTCCTCCGGGAGATGGGGGGAAGTGACCAGTGAGAGCCCGCCCGCCCCAGCACAGCACCCCTGCAGATGAGATGTGTCGACCTTCAGTTGCAGATGAGAGTACCGAGGCTCAGAGGGGCTGGGTGATGGGCCCACAGCTGTCCCAGGTCCCAGCTCCCCAGGGCAGTGGCTCTCCCAGGACACTGGGCCGAGGCGGGCTGCCCTCCATTCGCCCCTACCTGGTGGCAGTGTGGCTCAGGCCACGGACTCAGAGCTGGACAGATTTTCTACCATGTGACCTCCATGAACCTCAGTCTCCTTTTCTGAAACCCTGGGGTGGTGACCAAGCGTCAGCCTCCTAGGGGGAGTCAAGGGGATATATTTTTTTAAAGATTTTATTTATTTGAGAGAGAGAGTAAGCGAGAGAGAGAGAACACGAGCAGGGGCAGAGGGAAAGGGAGAAGCAGACTCCCCACTGAGCGGGGAGCCCGATGCGGGGCTCGATCCCAGGCCCCTGGGATCATGACCTGAGCCAAAGGCAGGTGCTTAATGGACTGAGCCACACAGGCATCCTGGGAATCAAGGGGATACTGCCTATAAAGCCCGGCGCGTTACCTGGCCCCAGCAAGTCCTGCTATGGCCCAGGGGGGGACCTGGAGATCAGGGGCCAGGGGAGTATGGAGTGAAACGAGAGCCAGAGAGGAAAAGAGACTGGTCCACGCCTGCCCAGCGCTGATGACAGACGGAGCAGCATCCCTGTGGTGTGATGGTGTTGGGAGCTCTTCCCCTTTCCTGGATCAGGAGCCCTTTGAGAAGTGGGTGAAAGCCTCAGACTCTCCGAGAGGAGTGCTCCCTTGGCACGTGCAGCCCTCGGGGTCCTTCATTCTGGCCTCCAAGCCCCGCCCCCTGCTGAGAAGCCAGGGCCCCCAGGGAGGGTCGCTGTGCTCTGGCTTGTGTGGTTCACTCTCCAGAAAAGAGCAAGTATTTCCTCAACCCAGAGGCCTCGGGCTACGCCTCGCTGCCCCCGCCATCCTGAGTCCGGTGCTTCTCTTCCAGGGGATGGCTACTACCTGGCCGTGGGCGGGGCCGTGGCCCAGCACAACTGGGCTCACATCAGCACGGTGCTGCAGGATCAGAAATTCCGGTGCCAGCTCATCGACGGCTCTGAGGACCTGGGCATGATCAGCATCCAGGGCCCGGCCAGGTGAGGAGCCGCGGGGTGCACAGCCCCTGGGACCCAGCCCCGGGTTCCTCCAACCGGGTCCTGCGGGCAGAACCACTGCGGGTCCAGAATGGGATGTTCTGGTTCGCTAGGTGCTCTGGTGAACCCAGAGATGCCATGCCAGATAAATCGTTTTCAAAGCACTAGAATACAGAAAAGCCCGTATTGTGAGCGTCAGACTCAACCATACGGTGACTCAGCATCTGAGGGCTCAGGGGTCACAGAAGGGCCTGTGGGGGGGTGGGGGGAGTGTCTTTGGGTCACTGACTCAGTCTGGGAGATACTGATGCCATCTCAAAGTGGGCACAGCCAGGCTGGGGTTCTCCCTGCCACTGGGGCTGAGAGTAGTATGGACCTGAGGCCACTGCGCCCCGGGCCCAAAAGCCTCCGTGATCACCTCCGGTGATTAGGCCTGCAGATGGGTGATCCAATCATTCGTTCATTCTGTATTTGCTGAGCTGCATTCCCGCCCACGAGGAATCGGAGCCTGCGAGGTCCTCAGATGCTGGCTGCGCGTGGAGCCACAGAGGGGGCTTAGGCAAAGGGGCGTCCGAGCAGCTGTGCGCTTTGGAAAGATCCCTCCAGCTGGGCTCCAGGGAAGGGACTCGGGGGTGGGGGACCAGAGGGGAAGAATGATCGTGTTAACAACCACCAAATGGACACCTGTGATTTGCCAAACCCTGTGACGACCTCTCCTGAAACTACGGTTAATAGCCCTTGCAGGTGGTTCTAATTGTTCTTGTTCTTTTTGGTGAAGAAACAGAGGCACGGAGAGGTAGAGATCTTTGCCCAGGGTGGCACAGCTAGGTAGGTGCTCGATCACTGACCCCAGAGCCCAGTGTGCATCGGCGCGGGGGAGACGCCTCTTGAGTGGTGGACCCTGCCAGACTGGAGAGGTGCAGGTCCAGGCAGGGGAGGAAGGGCACATGTCCAAGGAAGGATGTATTCCCGAAAAATGGTGGGAACAGCTGGTTGCTGAGAGGGAAGAGTGGGCCCCAAGCTGCACGCTCAGACCCTGCCCTAGGGTCCATTTTCCCGGGTGCCTTAGAGCTGACCAAGCCAGCAGCTCCCCGGCTGGGTCCTGGACGGGCCAACCTCCCCTCCCAGACTGTGTTGTAGCTGTTTTTGTGTGGGCATTGCTTAGGGGCGCACGGCAGATGGACAGGACCTGCTCGCTGAACGAATGTATAGAATCTGAGTAGGTCATATACTTTAATGTTGATCGGCTTCTGTCAAGTGTTTGACCAACATCCACTAAGAGAACATTTGGGCAAAGCCCTGGAGGAAAGAAATGAGGAATCAAGCTTTGGAGCTCTGGAGGGACGGTGTTCCAGGCAGAGGAAACAGCAGGTGCAAAGGCCCTGTGGCAGGGGCGTGCCCATGTGTCTGAGGAAAAGCAGGGAGGCCAGCTGGAGCAGGGCAGTTGGAGGTGCGCTCGGAGAGCAGAGGAGGTGAGAACCTGTAGGTCCAGGGGCTGTTTCCCCGAGTGAGGCGGACTGAGCAGAGCAGAGACATGGTCGGACTTGGACTTTAACGGGGTCTTTGATGCCGGGCGGGGGAGGAGGCCAGCAGGTGTGTGAGGAGCCTCAGGGACCAGAGAAGCTGGGACTTCAAGGAGGGAGCGTTGAGCTGTGTCCAGGTGGCCAGCGGATCCAAGTGGGATGAGGACCAGAAACTGACCATTACGTTTGGCAGCGTGGTGCTTCTGGTGGCCTTGAGGGTGGTTTGTGGGATGGCTGAGTGGGGGCATGTGGAGCCAGGAAGGGAGGAGAGGAACCTGGAGATCCAGTGGCGCGGTTTTCATCTCTCCCTGGACCGGCCGGCTCCCGTCTGTGGGCAGAATGGGGCCGGGGGTCCTGGCCGGTCCCTGGGGGAGCCTCCACTCCCTTGCCTCTGCGCCTCAGCCAGCAGTGGGTTATTTTTAGCGTGGGGGAGGCGGGTGGGAAGGGGAGGGAGGGTGCAGGCAGCCAGATCAAGGCAGGGCCCCGGGGGGACGGGCCAGCCTCCTCTGCCTCGTTAGAAGCAGCCCCAGGCGGGCGCCGGTGACAGCCAT